CAAGTAAATCATCACGTCTATACACCGTGAATAGCCGTGATGACCCTGAGGAACATTCCAATGTGCTGCAGGGGAGGGGACAGGCTGGAGGGAGAACCGTGATAGCTGGCCAGCTCGGAGCTTTGGGTGAGTATATCTTTGTTATTTTACCACCTAGACACAAACAAGCACTTAACCCTTTCAGTGCGGGAGTATCTTCGCTGCAAGGGTTAATTTTAAAAAAAATCCTGGAATTCTTCTTTAAAATGAAAAAATAAGTAAAGCTAAAGTTATGCCTTTTGAGCTTCTCATGTTGCGTCCTTATACACTGGACTTGTACTCTTTTGCATTCTGTCATCTGCTATTCTGTAATCTGCTGCAACACCTCCCACTTAAGCTCCCAGTGCCCGAAAACATGTTTGCTGTATAGCAGTGTGCAGTACTATAGTGGCTTACAATACAGAACCCCCTCCCCCTTCCCCTGTCTGAGTTTTACCTTGCAAGGGTTGTAGGAAAATTATAGTAGGGTAGATTTCAGGCACATCATTGCAACAGATGCACATTTCCCCATGTTTATCCAATAATAAATGCTGCAAGTACAGAAAAACACTTTATGATGTGCCAGAAATCCAATGTGCTCCTAATTTCCTCTTTGAGGTAACAGACAACACAGTGCTTTGGCTAGTCTGAAACCTCAACCAGTATTGTCATCATTGCCTGCTGGGCTACCTTGCCTATCCCCCACTCCTTTTAGTCCCTCTCCACATGCATACATTGATTTATTTCACAGCAAAACAGGGCTTCTGCCTTTGCTCCCAAGAGCCGGACCACTTACTGCTTGTATGGAAGGGCTCTTGGGAGATATAGTTCTGAGGGCGTCTATGTAAATAGCAGTTTACCTCCCAGCAGCTGACCCATTTTGCAAACCTGGTGATGGTGACACAGTGGGTAATAAAAGCTGTTTCTTGCTACAAGAATAAGGGGAAATAAAAAATAAGGCTGTGACATTCTTTAGAGGGGAATAGGGAGGTTTAAGGGTAAATTTGGCTCATGGCTATACAAACCATTGCCTTTTCTGGACTGAAACTGCAGGAAATCAGCCCTGCCCAGTTGCCTTTTACTAAACTACACATTTCTTCAGATCTACAACATAGGATGAATTCTTTAATATTCCAGTATAAGAACTAGGAGGATGAACTAAGTTGGCCATTTATTTATTTTACTTATTAAAAATATATAACAAAATGCTTTTAATCATATATATAAAGAGAGGTTCATGGTTAGGGTTTACGTGTACTTAAAGGAGAACTATGGGGTCAGTGAGAGACGACCTGTGACAGTCTCATTGTCACAGGTCGGCTTAGAACTATGACGTGAGTGGAAATCACTCATCTCATAGTTCTCCTTTAAGGAATTGTGTATGTGGGATTTACCTTTGATGTCTCATTCAAAGCAGGGAATTCCATTTTTTTCTAGCAGCCCCTCGAGTCTCTAAGCTTGATACCATTGTGAAGGCTTTAGTGCTAACACAGCACCAAGATGATCATTAGACAAACCTCAACACAATATAGCTGAACAATCGGCCAGACCTGCACTTCTAGCTCCCCTAGGTCAACTAGCCTTCAGCCCCTGCTCCTTCCCCGACACAACATACTAATTTAGCAGCCAACACAAGACAGTCAACATTGAGAGTGTGGAGTTTAATATATTATATGTATTGTACCAGGCACCGTACAGAAAGTGCAAAACTAAATACAATTATATATGAACGCAAAGCCAAAGATTAGAATTTTTTTTCTCTCCATTAATAGTGTAAATTGTCAATATTTGACTTATTTTCCTCTATCTTCCCATCTTAAAAGGGTTTTCCACTTTCACAGTGGGAGGGTAAGCTTCCTTGTCTCTGTAAATCATGTGGAGGCAGCCAATTACAAGCATTGAGTTGGCTTATTCTCAGCCAAGAGCTATCAGACTTCTCAGTGGAATCCTTCTTTAATGATGGTATTAGGGCTAATCCTTCTTCAAAGAATGATAGGAAGATCCAGCGCACCTCTGGCAATCTCATGATTTCTTATACTGTAGTTTTTCTCCCAGCTCCCAGGATACTGATTGTGCTGCATTTTGGGGTTATCAGATGTGGCCCATGACACCCTTTTAATTCCTTATGTGATATTGCTTCTCATTTGGCCCATCAACATCAAGATAATGGTGAAGAGAACATTAACTAAACTTTAACATTAGCCTTCAGCTAGTTTAGAACTTTCTTTGGGGGTGTACATAAAATGATTAAGATGAAAGTATGAGCACCATAGATCATTTCTAGCACTAGATCTCTGAGCCCACTGGACAGGACTAGCTGTGTGTACTAGCTGTGTGACCAGCTAGCTGTGACTAGCTGTGTATACTGGGTATAAGGCGTGGCACCTTATACCCGGTAATGACCTTGGTTGTTGCCTAAATACTTTGTTCCTTTTGTGTTTTCCCAATACTGGTAAAGAGACATTTTAGAGGGTATCACAGGAGGTTTACAGGAAGCAGGAGCAAGTTCATGTTCAAGGATCAGGATCACAGGTTTCCAGGGGTAGCGACCAGTGAGTATGGGCACACAGGTAAAATGTGGAGGCACTGAGAGCTTCCTGAGGAGGAGGCAAATACCATCCCAGCAGACATTATCCGGTCAAGACCAATCGCTGTTAGCTACTGGCTTCTGGGAGACACCCGTTGGTGGACACAGGAGCTACATCCTTCAGGTCCCAGGAGGTGCTCTGGTTCCTGACACAGACAGCAGACCTGATTGACTAAAGGTGCCCATACACCTTACAATTATCGTACAAAAAACGAACGCGATCGCATTTTCGTACGATAATTAGCCTGTTGATGGGAAGTGCACGATTGCAATTACTGTACAACTGGCCGAATTTCCTCGATCGGGCAGACTAGAAAACTTTTGACGAAGCGAATGAAAATCGATGGATTAGTAGCGTTTTCGTACAACAAAAATCACAACAGGAACGAAAATCCGTTCTGTCCATGGAGGAAAATCGTAGCATTAGTATTGCTAACGAACGATTATTGCAAGCAGCATTGGTCTGTGCATGATGGTCTACTTGAGTAGAAATTGAACGGCGGTGCGATGACGGAACAAAAGAAATCGTACGATAATTGTACGGTGCATGGCCAGCTTTAGAGTGTTAATTAACTTTCTCTTTCCCATTCTAAGACATGCAGTGCAGGGGGATGTAGGGGGTATTATCAAGACAGATTCAGTCACTTATGCTAGTTATCTGTAAAAATATATAACTGGATTAAATAGTGTTATTTATATCTGCCTGGACTCTGGCTTTAATACATTTCATGTTAATATAGAGAATGATAATCTAGTTATTTAGAGCGTATATAAACACAAAAACAAAAATTTAATATATTGCACCTTACCAATCCATAAATGTGGTGGCTGCATTCGTTTTCTTTTTTCTTGTATTTTCACCTGGTGATGTGGCCAATAACACACTTCTTGTCTTAGGGTGGCTCCTTTCTATGGAGGAACAATGGAGCCACCCTTTGACAGCAGCATTGTCACCCTGTGGGGAGGGCAGTGTTAGTTGCACTAGCAGATTTAGATGGACCTGACCAAAAAATGTAAACTGAACTCCAACTAACACTTTTTAAGCAGTTACAGCAGTTTTTCTTTCCTGTTGGATTTAAAGGTTTTACATAAATAAATAAAAATTGACCACTATAAGCACTTCTGTCTGTGTTACATGGTTTTCTTAATCCTCTATCTGTCACATTTGCTGGACAGCTTGGCCTGAGAAAGGAAGTTGGAAAATAAGATACTTACTGGCCAGATCAAAAAGTGAAAATAAAATGGAAAAAAAGCCTGCGGGCCGGTGCAGATCAAAGCGATCCGGGACACAATTGCAGACAGCGATTGATGCGCAGCCCCATTGATTACATCCGCGAGGCAATCGCAGAAAAAAAGTACATGTACCTTTTGTTGCAATACACGAGGTGCGGCTGTTTTAGCCGCAACCGTGTTCAGATGCATGGGCAGAATCGCAGCGTGAAACCGGCGATCTGCCCGGCACGACTGGGGGGCCATTAGAAAAGAAAGGCACCCACAGCGCAATCGTCGGTGATGGGTGACTCCGTGACCGTGCGGTAATCTACGGGGTATCATACACGATTGCCGCACAGGCAGGGGTGTATCTACCGCAAGGCAAACTAGGCATTTGCCTAGGGCGGCACTTTCCAGGGGGGCGGCAAAAAATGCTGCCTCAAACCAATGAGATGGAGAGGGCCGGACTTACCTTTGGGCATACTGGGAACTTGCCCAGTGGGCCGAGGCTGAGCGGCACATAATCAGGCAGCGGCAACGAGGCAACCTAGGCGGCTGCCTAATTAGAGAGCTGCGGAGGGGAGGGCAGTCCGGCTGGCTTTGTACAGGAGGTAGAGAGGAAGCAGCGGGTGGATCGGGGCTGGCCATGGCATGTGATCTGATGGTGGGATGTCCCAGAAGCAGGCTGGGGACTGCAATGTATCCTGTTGGTACTTATGGCACTTCAGGCTGCAGGTAAGAGGAGCAGCACATTTACTGTATCAGGGAAAGGGACTATGCACAGTCCTCCTGAGACCCTGCACAGCACACCATAGACCCTGCACAGCTCTCCTGAGACTCTGTGTGCGCTGTATCCAGTGACTGACAGGTTGCACAAAATTTCCTAAACAGGATGGGGTGGGCCAAATTTAGACTGAGGGGGTGCCCAAGTTTAGTCTTGCCTAGGGCAGCACAAAACCAAAATACACCACTGCGCACAGGTCACAGATCGCCCAGGTGTGCATCGGCCCTAAAACAAAGAAAACTAATGCAGCCACCACATCTAAGGATTGGTAAACTGCAATATAATAGAGTTATGTTTATGGGTTTAGATAAGCTTTAAGGAGGATAATATACACTGGACTAAATAACTGTTACATGTGAAGAACACTTAAATTGACTGAAAATGTGTGTTACCTCATAGCTGATCAGTGATGGCAACGTGGTGTATGCAGAAGCACTGTGGGACCATGTCACTATGGATGACCAGGAGCTTGGCTTCAAGGCTGGAAGTGTCATTGAAGTGATGGATGCCACAAACAAAGAGTGGTGGTGGGGGAGGATCCAAGACAGTGAAGGATGGTTCCCTGCAAGCTTTGTACGAGTGAGTATTGAATAAGATCAATATGATGATGTGGAATGATCACTGTTTGAAGCTTCTAGGACATTATTAATCGAAAATATCTATCATGACTGTAGAAGAACCTACTCCTCACCTTTAATATTAAACATAATTGTGTCATACATGATATAGATTCCCATTAAGGATCAGGGTCCATATACAGTATATATATATAAAACTATAATAGCAACTAGGGCTGCAACCAACTAATCGGCTAATTGATAATAATTCTCATTATCAATTAGTTGGTTGGGTCACCTAGCTCTCTCCTCCACGCTGGGAGGAGGGCACAGCAATCAGTGGGCTGTTGCAATACCCACTTTTAAATTAAGGATGGTATTTAATTTTGATTCAGTTGCATCAAAAAAATTATCGGCCAACTAATCGATTATGAAAATAATCATTAGTTGCAGTCCTTACCAACTGAAAAATAAACTGTAATAGCAACTGATTAATATGAGATATTAGTAATGGCCAAGTTTAATTACTCCGGCATGAATATTTACGTCTGTATTCATTATTTAGAAACATTATGACAATCTAGAATTTGTTACATCATATTATAACTGTCCACAACAAATTTGTGTTAGGCCCCATTCACACCAGCCGCTTGCACTACCACACTCTGACACTGGAGTGCGCTGTGAAGGAGGCAGTGCAATGCACCGATTACAGCGCATTGCATTGTAACCTTTTTTGGATCTCACTTTATTGAAATTTCATAAAGTGATATTGCATTCAGTTCTATTTATTGCGGTAAGTTGTGATGCTGTGCAGTTCTTTGCAACATGCTGCATTGAAAGAAGTATGCATGTTGTACTTATACCACCACAACGCGGTGTTGTGGGCTAACTTAATGGGAAAAAATGCAAATTGTCTTGCCTATGCGCTGGGACTGCTTATTGCACCTGATGTGAACAGGCCCTCCCTTAGAGCAGACAGTGTCCCTATGTTATTTAACAACTATTTAAACTGTAAAAATCTTCCTTTCTGGATTTAATGCACATTGGGGTGAATTTATCAAAACTGCTCCAGATTCTGTCTGCTCCAGTTTTGATAAATTCCCCCGTAGTGTTTTACCGTGCAATACATCCTTACATCTATGACATACAGCTCCATCTAGTGACCAAAGTGTGCATAGCTTTGTGTTATCTCCATTCTGCATAACCATCATTTCACCTTGCGTTAAGAGAAATGACCCGCTGCTGCCTCTGAGTTATAAAATAATGCCCATTCGGTACACAGCTCCGCGTGAACCAGGATGAACTGCTAGATGAGTATTCCAGTAAGCCTGGAGACAAGGAACAGTATCCCAGGAATGTCTTGCGGCGTCACGGTTTTGGCCCAACAAACAAGGACCAAATGAGAACCAATGTTATAAACGAGATCTTGAACACCGAGAAGGACTACATCAAGCATCTGAAGGACATTTGTGAGGTAAACTACTAACCATAGGCATAGGCCGAATTCACTGTACTGAGCCTTGGCAGACGTTACTGTGTATTCTGTTTTATTGGCATACTGCAAGATGTACGTATCAGTTGTTAAAGTGTCTTGAAGCCACTGGGGGAAAATGCTATCTGTGCTACATTGATAATAACAAATATTGCCACAGTGACTTATTAATGCTAAAATCATATTAGCCTGGAATGCCACATTGATTATTGGTCTTAAACAATCGACAGAAAGGATGTCCTTGAGCTGCAGAGAGTCCAGAGACGGGCAACTAAGCTAATTAAGGGGCTGGAGCAACTAAGCTATGAGACAAGGCTACTAAATTTAAACTTGTTCATGCTAGAAGTGAGGAGACTAAGAGGGGACATGATTTTGATGTACAAAATGTTTAGTGGTAAACATCTGCAATAAACTTTTTACTGTAAACTCTGTGACCAGGACTACCACCTAAAAATGGTGGAGAAAAGATTTAACCACAAGGGACGTAGGGGCTTTTTTTTTTTCAGTTAGAGCGTTAAAATCTGGAACTCGATGCCACAAGCAGTGGTATCAGCAGAGAGTATTGAATCATTCAAAAAGCATTTAGATACCTTCCTCAGAGATCATAACATACAGGGGTACAGGTACTCTTAAAAACTAGGCCACACAGGGATTCATATAAACACGCATGCACAATTACATACAGACACACAAAGGTTGAACTTGATGGACCTGTGTCTTTATTCAACCTCAAATACTATGTAACTAAGTAACAATAAATGGAGTGTTACTAAAACTAAGCAAGGTACCTTAGCACCTACCCCTCCGCCCAGCCCCACATAGGTCTCCACAACAGTAATTGATAGAAAAAGAACTAGTAACACAAATATAAATAGTAACAGAAACCAAAGCGCACTGCAAAAGGCAACACAAAGCCAAACTGAAGATGGGGTATGGGAGTATGGGAACAGAAGGGCTTCAGTGGCAGGTTGCTAGATATGCCGCTCTGTCTGCCGATAGAGGATATCCACAACTAAAAGACAACTAAGAAAAGAGAAGAAAAAGCGCAAAACAACCTAGGTCATTTTATGCATTGTCGTTTTTTCTCAACAACAGTAAACAATTATGACATTAATGTTGGTATGCACAAATATACTAAGAAGATGAGGCTTTATTTTCTAGTCAGATGCACAGAGCAATCTGCAGAAGCCATTAGCAGGCCAAGTGGCAAAACGCTGCCATGTTTTGAAATAAAACAAATACCGTACACACCAATAAACGTAAGTAATTGTGTCAAATGTACCCTTATTCATGAAATTATCGGTTTCCTGTTTGTAAAGGGTTACATCAAGCAGTGTCGTAAAAGAGCGGACATGTTCACAGAGGAGCAGCTGTGGACTATTTTTGGGAACATCGAAGACATCTACAAGTTCCAGAAGAAATTTCTGAAGACTCTGGAAAAACGAATTAACAAGGAGTCTCCGCATTTGAGTGAGATTGGTTCCTGCTTTCTGCAGTATGTAAGTTCTGAAGTATTTCCACTTGCTGTGCTCTGTCATTATTAGAAATCTGCATTTGCCTAGCCATTATATCATGGATGCAAGCCAGGCTACAATGTTGCCATTGTATCCTTCCTTTAGTTTCTTCTCTGAAGTTTGTGGTTTGTGGCTGTCACAGACTACGGTGGACCCAATGGGGTTTATTTACTAAAGGCAAATAGAGAGGTTTCTCCTTAGCTCAGTGATTGTTGTGAAATTCCATTTGCATAGAATAGCCAATGACGTGCAAGGAAAATTTTAAAAAAAGTATTTTTGCTTGCACATGATTAATGATGGAAGTCATTAGAGCCTAACCTCATAAACATCCATGGAAAGTGAAAATTCCCTTGCAAAGTGAACAGTCAATTTGCCTTTAGTAAATCTTATTTGGCTCTAGTAAATCAACCCTTATTTTTCTCCATAGGCAACAGCTAACTAGCAGCCAAGACAGATGTAGTGCTGGCTGTACACTATACAATCTGACTGTACAATCTCTTTACAATTTTCTTTATATATACCACAATATTGTAGTATAAGGACATACCTTTACAATCCGTCCAAGACAGGTTCTTGCACTACATGGTTGATGGTAGATCTAAAAGGAGATTGCACAGTCAGTGCATAGTGTATTTTCAGCCTAGGTATTCAAACAGACAGTCAGAGGAAACATCAAACAGTGGCAGAGACAGCAGGCTGATGGTCAAATCAGGTGCAGACAAAAAGATCTGGAATATCTAGGTTCCAGACAGGTAGACAGAACAATGACTGACAAAAGTAGAGGTATCAGGGTGAAGAGCTGTCCAAATGCTGTCCAAATGATTATAGGAATAATCCAGGCAGGAACAGTCCAACAGAGTTAAGCTGCCCATACACCTTACAACCATCGCACGACTTTTGTTGTGCGATGGTTGTAAGGTAATTAAAATCTTGTATGATCTGCCCATCTTGGACAGGCAGATCGTACTTGCGATCATCGCAAGCCCTTCCCGATGAGGGGAGGGCTTGCGATGATTCCAATGCTGAGCGGGCAGTGTGCTCTTGCGCACAACAGCCCGTTCAACCATTTGACTTCCGTGCACGCCACTAACCCGTCGAAATCTTACGATTCTCGGCAGGTTTTCAAGCGTGCTCCGAAGACAAAAGACGTGCGACCGTACAGTAGAAACGGTCGCACGCCTTCCATACACCTGCCGATTATCGTACGATTGCAGGATCACCTGCGTATGATAATCGGCAGGTGTATGGGCACCTTTAGGCAGATGTCTATCCAGGGTATAACGTCAAGCTATTGAGTAGGCATATGCTGAATGCCCAGCAGTCTACATAAGCTATTCTGAATAGGACAGATGTGTGCTGGAGATATCTGAGCTGCAGTGTAATGACCAGCGGGGTGGTGAAGGCTCAAGGCTGAAAGCTACAGTGACCTTTAGCATCTCTGATTTGTGACACCTATCTGACTTTAAAGCTAACCTCTTTGAGCTGCCGTGGCAAAGGGCATATACAAAAGGGTGATGGAATTTAATGTAAAGTAGGAAAAATAAAACCTCCCAAAATACAGTAGCACGTTAACTGGAGGGAACCTTGCAAAATATGGAACTGAATATTTAAATAAATATTTAAATTTAGCTATTTTCCAAACATCTCCTTTTGTTTAATGAAGCAGCGAAAAGACCAAAGATACACAGTCATCCATGTCAACCAATCTTAATTCAGCTTTTAGAGTCCAAGAGTGGGCTGGGCATGTCAAAAATGACTTCTGATTGATTAATCTATTTATATATTACGTTGTATTTTTATAAATCTATAGACAGTACAATATACATAATTGGTTGTTTGTTTGGTTTTTTTTTACAGATCTTTTAGTAGTACATTATTATTATACAGGATTTATATAGCGCCAATGTTTGCGCAGCGCTTTACAAAATGGGGAGACCGTACAGTTACAATAAAATGTCAGTACAATAGGGTTAGGAGGGCCCTGCTCTTGAGAGCTTACAATCTAATAGGAGGTGCAAGTGATGCAAAAGGTAATAATTGTTTAGATTGAATTAGTAGAAGAAGTAAAAGGACAGTTATATTGAGGTGGGATAGGCTTCCCTGAAGAGATGAGTTTTTAAGAATCACCTAAAGGTGGACAGCGTAGGAGATAAGGAGTACATAATATAAATGGGATTTTCTTTAATTGTATATTTATAAAATATATACAAGATTTATGTGCTTTTAGATTGTAAGCTCTCATGGACAGAGCCCTCCTTACCATCTTGTCTTAATTTGTATTGTAACTGTAATAATAATAATGTGCTGCATATTTGACTGTTTGCTATATAATTGTTGCAATCTGGTGTTTTTTTAAAATGTGTGCTTTTGCCCATGTCAGCAAACCGATTTTCAGATCTACTCAGAGTACTGCAACAACCATCCGAACGCTTGCACGGAACTTTCCAAACTCTGTAAAGTGAAGAAGTATGGCTATTTCTTTGAGACATGTCGCCTAGTACAGAAGATGATAGATATATCTCTGGATGGATTCCTACTGACACCAGTGCAGAAAATCTGCAAATATCCCTTACAGCTGGCCGAGCTTCTCAAGTATACAAACCCCCAGCACAGGTATGTCCAAGGGCAATCCTATGGTATGTTTTTTATTATCTATATATCACATACTGTATGTGCCATTCCTTTCAACAACCAGCCCACTTGACCCATGACCCCGGCAGATGTATTTTTTCACCTAAAATTTTCACTTCCTTTCATACTGTTAAGTCTTGAGTGAGGGTGACTGGGGCAAGCTACATACTTACCTTTACAGAACATTGTGAAGCTTTTTTTAAAATGTGTTTTATCTTAATTTTGTATCACTCCTCTTGGGGTGATGTTGATCGACCCACTAAGTAGTATGGCAGGCTAACTTTTAATCTCAGAGTATGGTTCTTGGTGTATGCTGGGGGGAAAAATAAGTTGGGCGCCAGTCACTTTGTCTTTTTACCTTTTATTGTGGAACTGAGTGCTTAGAGAGGGAGCCTAGGGATGCAGAACACTACAAATAGCACAAAAATAGGACAGTTATTCTGAAAGTATCAGTAGCAGTAGGTGCTTTAGGAGCCACCTGTTAGTAATTGCTGGCCATGTGAAAGCAGCCAGGCAAATTTATGACCCTGTAAGAACAGTCAGTCTTTCCAAGTTGTAGTGGATCACTCACTAATCAGGTTGTCCCTTCACCGTTTTAGAGCAGTCAAAGGTACCTTGATTGATGGGCGATGAATCCTTCTTAAGGTGCCCATACACCTTACGACCATCGCAAGACTTTTGTCTTGCGATGGTCGTATGCTTCTTGAAAGCCCGTACGATCTGCCCACCTTGGACGGGCAGATCGTACTTGCGATCATCGAAAGCCCGCCCCGCTGAGGGGCGGGCTTCCGATGACGGCAATGCAGAACGGGCAGTGTGCGCGTGCGCACAGCGGCCGTTCCACAGCTATCGGGCGAGCAGGCTAGAAACCCGCCGAGAATCGCACGATTCTCGGCGGGTTTTCGAGCATGTTGGCTCGACAAAAGACGTGCGACCGTACAGTAGAAACGGTCGCACGTCTTAGTTCACACTGCTCGATTCTCGTACGATCGCGGGATTTCGCCCGATTCTCGTACGAGAATCGAGCAGTGTATGGGCACCTTTACAATGTCCAGAAGTAGCATCTTCCCAGCTTTTCTGTGACACTCATCAAGATGATTTTTTCCAAGCCCAGCTACCTCCAGATGTCCACTCAGCATGTAGCTTAAATCCTGGGCCTGTAACCCATGCACCAGGCTGAGAAACGGCCCATAAAGTGATCCTTCTATGCAGACATACTCTCCAGGCTAAAGCCCAGGAGGGACAGAACACTGCCTCAAATATGTATCATGTTCCCAAACCATTCCTCTGAACAAGGACCTCAGAGATTGGTTGGATCAGATAACTATTCATAACTCAGTGATTGTCCTTCCCTCTCTAATTACTGGAACCTCCTTCACAGTAACAGACAGAAGCAATAAACATACTGAGATAAGGAGAACCAACAAACACTAGAAAAAGGTAAACAGATGCTCAGGCTGGTTACAGCCTACCAACAAACCACACGAACAGGGTCTATTAACAAAAGGATGAAAGGTTTGAAGAAGGCAGGAGAAGTGAACAATCTAGGACAAAATAGCTGAACTGGAAAATAAGCTGAATTGGAGAATATTTCCAAATCAGCTATTTTGACCTAGATTGTTCACTTCTCCTGCCTTCTCCAAACTCTTTGCCCTTTTCTGAATAGCCCTGTAAATGTATTAGGGACACAACAGCATAGATCAGGGGCCGTACAATTGCAACAGTCTTCAGTTTGTATTTAGGATTTCCCAGAGTCCTGCTTACCCTTGCTTCTATAATTGGGTAACTCCTCCTCCCAGACATCTCCACATAACAGAGGTCTTAAACAGGTAGCTTGATGCATGAAATATGGCATCCTAGGCACATTCTGAGGTTTACATTACTTGGATTTCATCTTCACTGAGATATGTTTTCTGCACTTTTGAGCTTTATACATCAAAAGGGATACCAGGTATACAATGTTCTTACTACGATACTGTGCCTACTCATATTAAAGGGAAACTGTTAAGGTCTGGGTCAATTTTAAACAGATGTTTTACATCAGTTTTCGTATTTCAGTAAATGTATATAAAGGAGAGCCACTATATGTAAATAATATTTTCAGTGTGGGTTAGCACTTTAAAAATCTTGTCCATATGTATAGTTTGCAATTCTATTTGTACATGGGACAGTCAGTTTTGCTCAATACAAAGTGCACTGCTCCATAGTGCCACGTAGCAATTGTTCTTTGCTGTTCCTCCCGACAATGCTATTGTACAATGCTCAAAGTCTGAGTTGTCCGACCACGTGAAAACTACACTCCCTTCCCTGTGAGAGTCATATCCTATTTAGATAGTCAGGGAGCCAGATAATTAAAAAATGGATTAATCACCTAAAATAAAATGTATGCCCCATTAACGGTACTTGTTTTTTTTCATGTAGGGATTTTGCAGATGTGGAAGCAGCACTGAATGCCATGAAAAATGTGGCTAAACTGATCAATGAGCGGAAGAGAAGATTAGAAAACATTGATAAGATAGCCCACTGGCAGAGTGCTATAGAAGACTGGGAGGTAAGACTCTTCTCACTACTGTTATACCAACTCATAAAGGACATCTGTGATCTGTGAGTCCAAGTCAGACTACTACAACGCTGCATCAAGAATTCACAGCCAGCACCTGCAATTGTCAGTGATTGCAGCTCATTGGCTGCAGTCACTGTTCAGCTGACAATTTTCTTCCCACAGCCTTTGACATTTCCTTTGAAGTATGTTGAGCCAGCTGTTGCTTGCAGGGCCACCAGCGCATCAAACTCATGCTGATTTGGCAGGAAATGTGATCTGGATATGGCCAACTTAAGTGTAACTGTTGACAACTACCACATGAATATGCAAAGTGTAAAAAGGTCATGTATATCGCTATAAGTCATGTTATTGATGATGTATTCCTCCATTTGTTATAAGGGGGAAGACATTCTGACAAGTAGCTCGGAACTCATCCACTCTGGAGAATTAACCAAGATCTCACAGCTGCAATCAAAGGGGCAACAGCGAATATTCTTTCTTTTTGATCATCAGATTGTCTACTGCAAAAAGGTATTTTATAAACACCCATTTCATTTTGACTAACCACAGGATTAGGTGAAACATGTCAGAGAGGGCGGACCTCGAGCTGGACTCAGTGTCACTGACAAACGTTTAGGCCAGGTGCAGACTTGGGCGATCCCGGGACGTGCGTCCTGGGACTGCGCGATTGTGTGTGGCTGCACACAGCGTTTGCCTTGTGGCCCCATTGATTTCAATGGGGTTATATCCGCGTGGCAATCGCTGAAAGAAGGTACATGTACCTCATCTAGCGACACGCACCACTTCATTTTTTTATAGCCTCAATAATGCACGATTGCTTGGGAGGAATCGCGGCAGGAAACTGCACGGTCTACCTAGCAAGACTGGGGTGCCATTAGAAAAGAATGGCACCGCCAGTGAGATCAGCGCTGGTGTGCGATTCTGTGACCACGCGGACATCCGTGTAGTTTTGTGCATGGTTGCCACGCGGTCACAGATCGCCCAGGCGTGACCATGCCCTTAATAAACTGATTCAGTGGGAAACGGAGTGCAGCCATATTTTTCCTTTACTATACACCTGTTTGGTTGGAGTGTGGACACACTCCTGCTGGCGAGCACCTGGCTCTCTTTCCCCTACTAAAGCTGTGGAGGAACGGTGTTTGCTTTCAATGTCTTGGTGTGCCCATTACATTTTATAAGTTCTTGAAAGCAATTATTGACCGGTTATATACTGGTACATTTTAAGACTTGAGTGGGCTGCTCTTGCTGCTATGTTTAAACATCTAGCATTAAGACACAGTCCAGGCTAACCATATGTAGTTAAACTCCCTTGGAACCTATACATAGTTCACCTAACCTTCCACCATTCTGTGCTGTCAGAAAATGAGAATACGCAGGCAAACACCTGACAGCAGTTATCTTAAGTCTGTATTTATAATAGTACATAGTTAAGAGGAATGCTTAACTTGACCCCTGATACTACCAATGAATGTCTACCAAGGTTTACATTCATGGTTGCCAAATCAAATATTACTCTACTCTTTTATTTATATACTTGAAAATAATTAAGGATAACAGAAACCTTTTATGGACACTAATGGTCTTGCGACACTGTGTATTAGAAATGTCTTAGTAAATGATGTTGCAATTAAAGCATCAAAATGACCAAAGTCAATACATCTTAAGGTCGGTGTCAGTAAATAGTGCTGTGTGACAGGGAGAGATCTCCGAATAAATATTCCAGTCTGTATCAAAGTAACGTTTTAACACTACACCATCAAGAAGGGTACATTGTGTACTGGCCACAGGAAATCATTAATTTTTTTCTTCAATTTCCTCAGGACATTCTGAGACGGGATATTTTATATTATAAAGGAAAGATCAACATGGATGACATGGAAGTCATTAACGTGGAGGATGGTAAAGACAAGGACTTCAACATTACTGTGAAAAATGCATTTAAGCTGCAGAGTAAAGTCTCTGATGAGGTTCACCTTTTCCTGGCAAAGAAACCCGAACAGAAGCAGCGCTGGCTGCAGGCTTTCGAAGAAGAGAAGAAGCAAGTACTTCAAGATCAGCAGACAGGTAATATGTAATATAACAGAAGACAGTTTTGGAGGAGGGAGGATTGCTACTTCTGTACAGGGACAGTCATAGAGTGCAACACCAAATCTGTGCTTCTGACTACAGGATATGATGGGAAAAAAATGTTCTTAGGACAAACATAGAGATTGAACAAATATTTGTGTGTTGGTCCATTGTCTACAAAGCAGAATGTCAATTATACTGGGCACTCCGGACCTTAGAGAAGGTTGGGCAGCCTTCACTTATTTTTTGCTTAATATAACAAAAGACAATTTGGTGGTAGGGGTAGGGAGGGGAAGAGGTGGCCTTGCTATTTCTGTACCAGGAGAGTCAGAAACCATGTCAGATTCACAATACCAAATCAGTGTTTCTGATTACAGAATGATTACATATGACAGGAAAATTGCTGAGCAATGAAGGTCCAACAGCTTAATCTTCCTGCAGCATAGTCATGAATTTGACAATTTTGTCTTATGAAGAATAGAAGTTATTTTGATAGCAAAATTAGCAGTGGCCTAAAGTGCAGTTGTCCACTTTTTTTAAGTCCTCCTCTAAACATATAGCGTCATATATAGGCAGGAAATAAAAGGTGTTATCTGTAATGATATAACTGACATTTGTTTATCTGTCTCTAGGTTTCAGCATCAGTGAAATTCAGAGGAAACAAGCAATGATTAATGCCCACAAACCACACCCTGCAGGAAAGCCAAAAGGTGAGAGTCCCTGCATGCTAATGGCAAAAATAAAAACATTTTTAGATGATCAGTTGCATTTAAAATGTAAGAATAGCCAAAAACTTTTTTTAGTTGTGGATAGATTAGGTAAAAGTAAAAAAAACCTTGTTGGGTTATTTTCTGCTATCTGTATCCCATTTCCCACTACTTTCTCTCTTGAAGATGACAAAAAATTAGAGGAAATTTCCCCAAACTAAGGAGAAATACCCGCTTGGATAGTTGTCACCAGAACAAGTCAAAATTGTAGGATTTCCCCTCACTTCTTGTTCTGGTGACAGCTCTAATGTTTTGGATTTCCCCTTACTTTCTGTTTCAGTGATAATGGTCACCAGGACGAATATAGGGGGTCTGACCCCTCCTTAATAAAAAAAATAGTTTTGCCTTTACATTTAAAGGGCATATTAACATTTGGCATGAGTGATGTCAGTTAGCATTCTCATGGAGGATCCTGGGAAAGGTATGGATCCCAATTCTCATGTGAGAAGGAGCAGTAAAGTGGAAGTGCAGTGTAGTGCTGCATTTCCCACAAACTAGTCCCTGTGGGAGGGCCAAGATCATTTACATCTTGTCTATTTATTTTACATAAATAAATAAACGTTAATAAACATTTTAAAAGGTGCAGTTTCTTGAAAGTGCACCTTAAAATTAAAAATGAAACCCTGAATGCATACAGTGATCCTGGGTTTGGTGGCCAAGTTGTATGTTTTTTCCCCAGATGCAGTGCGGGACCAGGGGCGTATCTGCCGCGAGGCAAACAAGGCGTTTGCCTGGAGCGGCAGATTCGCTGAGGGCGGCACCGGGCCAGGATCACTTCCGGGGGGGGGGTGCGGCGTTGCTGCTTTGCCTAGGGCAGCACAAAGGGTAAATACACCGGTGTGCGGGACACCATACTGCTTGAAAGCATCTTGTTGCCAGTAATCTTTATGTAGATTGCACAGTTAGATTTCTCTAGATTATTTTTCTAAACTTTTCCTGATGCCCATCACAAACTTTATGAGTTTGTGCAACACCTTTATTAATAAATACAAAAAACAGCAGAAGACACAAGAAGCAGATGCTTCAGTTTTAGGATTACATTATTGTACTCCATCCAGTATGTACCCTTATTAGCTGTCCATGGTACACTTTCTGCGAGTAGAGAAACATAAGTCTAGATGGTGGAAGCTTCAGATATGTGAAATATTAGTTCAGCAGTCAACTCCACCCAAAAACTACAGTATTTTGGGTTTGAAAGGTAAGTGAAAAGTGGAATCACATGTTGGCTTCTTATATATCTGAGGGAGACAGCTGGTGATAGAGTTCTGTGAGAATTCCAAGTTCTTGACAAAAGGCATGATGTAATCAACTGCACACAATGGAGTCGTATAACATGCAATAAATAGTTACAGCTCATCTCTAGGCAAACCAAAAAAATTACCCTTGCAGTGGGGCTTTCGCCACACTACAAAGGTTAAGTGCTTGTTTATGCCTAGGGGACCGGAGTAAAACACTTTTACTTACCTGATTCCTGCTCTCCCGCCTGTCAGCGCCCCTCATGTCCCTTGGAGTCCTCAGCATATAGAAAGTGGAAGGTGACATGGCCCAACAGAGTCTATGTAAAACTGAAAGAGCACTCATGTCAGCAGTGTTGATGACAGGTGCTCTTTTACATAAACTTAGCTGAACACTCAGAGCTATTAGCACTGAAATAAGATGTATTGCTCCCTCACACATTCCTCCATCCTTTAATTACACAGCAGATGACCTCACAGTATGTGTCTGGTAAATACAACTGACAAATAAGAATAGGGGAGTTTTCTCCTTTTACAATAGTTTTATCTTCCAGCAAAGAAATAGCAAGGCAATCCTCCTAAACCTTTCATCTATATTTGTTTGCAGCCATTAATCGGACATACTATGATTTCTGGATGAGGCAAAAGCATCCCACGTTGCCCGCCAACCTCCCCCAGCAACAAGTCTTCATGCTTGCTGAACCCAAGCGCAAACCCTCCAACTTCTGGCAGAACATCAGCCGGCTGACTCCTTTCCGAAAATAAAAAGCAGCTTTGTGTTCTGCTCTTGCCTCCTGTACAAAGAAAGCACTTTACTCACAGATGACAAGAAGTGCCCGTGCCTGGGACTCCTACTTTTCCTCTTACAGGGCATGGTGCTGGCTGGTACATTACAGTATATTTATTTTTTAAAAAGAGTTGGACATATTTTCCATGTTTTGCTCTTGCTGCCGCCTCTGCCCAGGTCAAGTGGCCCATCCGGAAGTGTTGTAGTTTTTTTGCTGTTCATGTAATAGACTGTATGTTTGTTTGTTTTTACACTGTTTACCGACATAATCTTTTATAAACTACTACTGACAATATACAATGGATACCTAGGTTAAAATTGCTGTAGCAGGCCTCAGAGTTTCAGGACAGTCTGTTGTGCTGATAGCAAGCAAAGTCAACTTTCAATCTCCTGCTATCATATAAAGTCTAACTCAGTGCACAATATTCTTCCTAGAGTACAGTAACATGTACAGGGGCGTTTTCTAAAAACTTACCTGCCATATTCACTGCTGGTTTCTTCGCCCCACAACTCATCAGTAGACCTGCAGTTGGAAGTCTGTGCTTGCTCCAACTGTAGTGCTGCAAGTTTCATAGACTTTGGCGTTACAACCAGAGTGGGCACAGAAGTTCAGGGGGAGCTGGACTTCCACGCGCAAGCCTACTGATTCCCCTTTTAGTTTACCTATCCTCCTGACGAATTAGAAAGCAAACAGACCAAGGCTCCTTTTTGTGATTGGCCAGGAGGAAAGGGGGACAGAGATGTGACCATAGTACTAAGGACTTGAAGACCATCAGCAGTGATACAGACATAGTGGGCACAGAAGTCCAGCAGGAGCTGGACTTCCACATGCATATCCACTGATTCCCACCTCAGTCCTCCTCTCCTCCTGAACAATCACAAAGCAAACTGCCCCAGGTTCCATTGTGTGGCTGACCAGGAGGAGAGGGGGATGGACATGCAACCAAAGCGCTGAGGTCTATAAGACCTGCGGCACTACAGCCAAAGAGTGCAAAGAATCCCAGCAGGAGCTGGACTTTCACCCGCATGTCTACTGATTCCGCCAATGATTGGCCAGGAGAAGAGGGGTTCATAGATACGACCACAGCACTGAGGTCTTGGAGACCTGCAGTGCTACAGCTTGAGTTGACATATAAGTTCAGTGTGAGCCGGACTTCCACCCACATGTATGCTGATGATTTGTGGGAAGACGAAGCCAGTACTAAATATGGCAGGTGGATTTTTTAGAAAAGGCACGGTGCGTCTTATTGCACTCCAAGAAAATATTGTGTCTGAAGTTGGGCTTTAAAGAACAGGTTTAATTCTCATTTCTTGAGATGTTTATTTTAGGCAGTCTGATAAATGAGGCCTAGGCATTTAGCAGTATGTCTATGACGGTGCAGGGCATTGTGGCCACATGTAAGGTGCTAAGGGGAACTTATTGTATAACATACAGGCATTCTATACTAGGCTGAAGCAATGGCACACATTCGTTCAGTGGGGGGAGTTTACAAAGATGGGAGCAGAGAGAAGTAGTGCAGAACAGTCTTAGCAAGCCACCTGTTGAGACAAATGTATTATCAGCTGACAGCTTCTTATTTAACTGTTCCCCTCTAGGCTTCAGAATTTGTTGCTCTAACATAGAACATGGCTTGGTGCACGTCTATGATGTGCACGTGTGTAAATCAAAAAAGCTTTTTTAGATATGATGGTAATTTGGTCACCAATGTCTTTAGAAATGTGGGTAGATTTGCTGAACTCCTTAACAAATGAGGAAACAATATCACAAATGATTAAAGTATATGTACAACCAAAAACTTTGTAAGTGTTGGATAGAGTGTGGAGGGATTAGAACGCCTGTCAGGTTTTACTGTTATCCGGGGCTCAGTTAGAGAGATTTCCCCTCACTTCCTGTCCTGCTGACTACATTTTAACAGGCAGGAGGTGAAGGTAACTTCCTAAGATCAACACAGGCAGATTTTTATTTCTCTTTGTGATCCTGTTGCAGGACGTCCTGTCTGGTTAATCCCTTGTCAGCGGGACAGAAAGTGAAGGAAAATCTCTCTAGTGGAGCCCTGCATGCTGGTAAAAACCAGACAGGAGTTCTAATCCTTCCCCACTCAATCCAAAACTAGAAAATGTTTTTGGGTAGCCTCACTGCAAGGGTTCATTTTTATTCGCCCGGAATTGTTCTTTAAATTTAGCAAAATGTATCCTGAAGGAACTGTATTTACTACTGAGTCCACAACTAAGTGCCCTAGTAAATAAAAGTATGAAGTAAAGGAAAACCTCCTTAGCTGACGGCTCCTAAAGAGCTGGGCCATCATTTACATGAATCCACTCCATCAGTGTGGAGGAGGCCAAAAACCACCTTGTCAGCACATTGTTTTCAATGCAACAAATACCCATTTGAATATGAGAGCTGCCATATTTATTGCTGTCTGGAATGACGAGGTCTTTCTGAATGCCACTAATACACTATCAGAAATAATTTACTGTTAGAAGTTAGAAACTGTGTGAAGACCCCATGAATTGCAGGGAACCGGCTAATTTCTGGCTAAAGAGCCAATGTGATGAAGTGGTGCCAATCAACAACGTACACATTTACAACCCTTAAAAATGTGTCTATAAATATAGATGTATATATAACATTGAGAACAATGTGCCTAAACTAAGAACGCTGCTCTAGGGCAGTGATATAAATGATGAAATTATATAATACTAGTGCTTTCACCGGTGAAAACCTATTAACATGAAAGTGCCCTATTGCTGTGCACAGAACTCAGTCAATATGAAGTATAAAGGAGAAACATGGAGGCTGCCATTGCTGACTTCTCATCCGGCAAATGGCCATTGCACGGCATTACACTAACCCTTTGGCTTCGGTAGTTGGAGTCACCGACCCAGGACATTTATGTTAATAAAGATGACTTTACTCTGTAAACTTGTTCCAGGGCAGTGACTCAAAATGTTGAAGCTGCTGGGTCGGTATAACTGCCAGACAACTAGCAGTTTCATTAGCAATTGCACCCCCTGGATTTCTCCTAGTAAAGGTTTACAAAAATGCCCTAGCTGTATCCGACCTCTGCAATGTCTATGTTGCTTGAAGGACGGAAGTCTTCTTAGATGCAATGGCAATGACACAATCTAATGGTAAGCTGCTGTGCCTATTTCTCCTACAGGTGGCGCTAATAATAACATTTTATATTGGATCCTGGTTATGTAAAGCTCACAACACGTGTTACAATCTGATTGTACAATTTCCCTTTAGATCTACCAACAACAATGTAATGCTAGAGCCTGCCTGATTGGATAGAAAATGATTGGATAGATTCATTAGGTCCTCTTATTACATAGTTTTGGTAAATCTAAAGTCGGTTGTACAAAGATTATATGGTGACCCTAAAACAGGTGCTCTGACTGAAAGGACTAATGTGGAAGATGCTAGTGTGCTACCACACTTAGGGCATCATTTACAAAAGTTCTGCCCGGCATATAGCTGGACGGATGCTGTTCACATGGCACTAGCGCCTCTGGGTGGTGCTGACGAATATCGGAATTTCCTGTAGAGAACTTTTATAAATAAATCCATTATCGACAGTAGTGTCCATTATATCACGCCTGGCTTGGCAATTTCTTTTCCAGCAGCAAAGTTAACAATCGCATATTTTCTGTTTTCTATATCCTTTGCCATCTTTTTTTTTTATGTTTTGAGATATTTTTATTTATGAGAAATAACACTGATGTACATTTAAGTGTCTGTAGTTATTCGTGGGTTATTTTTATGACTGTTTTGCAACTGTAAATTTGTTCTTTACAGATATGAAATAAAATTGCCTTACACAGTATAAAACGTCAAAGCCATGAAGAAATACAGGGCGCGTACTTGAATCATTGTGCCAACATCACACACACACACACTTCATCTTGCATGTAACAGGGCATCCAGTACAGCTTCTGAGCACCCCAGACCCCTCATCTGCTGCCTTTCAAGGTCCATGCCATCAGGCAGAGTTTTGCGGGAGCAGGATGGAGAAGCGGACCCTGGGTCAGCAAGTCTGTCGACACTGGGATCGGGAAGGGGTCCCCCACCGTGAGTTGCCGCAGGAGAGGATACCAGGGGCGTTTCGGCCAATTGGGAAGCACCGCCAGAATCATGACTCGTTCCCCACAGAGTCTCTTCAAGAAGGCGAGGATGAGCGAAATGGGTGGGAAGGCGAATGCCGTCTGCTCGGGGACACAAGCTTCCTTCTTCAGATGTTTGAACAGTCGCCTCTTTTTATCTGGTTCGCGGGCCTCATCCTCCCACAGCAAGGCCTGCCGCGCGGCCTTCACGAAGGGCTGGACCAGGGTAAAGTCAAACCCATCAGCCACATCTACTTCCGAACTAGAGGCCTCACCTTCGGAGCCAGAATTAGGGTCTTCCTCCCGGCTTTACCGGTCTAACACAGCCTCAGAGACCAGTAGAGAGGCTCCTCTACAGATCCACCAGCGGATATGAAGAGAGAGGACAACACCCAGGATCCAGAGAATGGGTGGACAGCCAAGGATTTACCTCAGCCAGGTAAGCGACCGCCACCATCCTATCAGACTCCAATAGGAGGAAAAAGAAGGAACACATTGGCTGGGGGGAGGCTCAAATTTATGAGCTATTAGTCCTATCAGATGGGGGGGTGTACCCACTCGTATGCCGACATGGAGCAGTCAGGGAAAGTATAATTTATTGAGCAGCTGATTTGTAAAGGTTTCGCTCAGTGCATAGCTGGACGAATGCTATTCACATGGCATTGCTGCCGCTGGATGGAGCTGAGGAGCATAGGAAATACATATGCTCCTCAGCTCCTTCTAGTGACAGTATAACCATACAGTGTTCACCAGGCTGTATGCTGAGGTTTGTAAAGACATTTGGTGCACATATCCTTTGTAAATATTGAGAAGTATACTGTATTTAAACGAAAGGGTTGGTGCCCAGAGTTCAGCTTTAAAGAAACCCTGTCTCTTTACACAGGAGTATATGATAAAAGAGCGTACTGAATGATCAGTAGATCTTGAGTAATAGGCAGCTGCAGTTTCATTCAAATCCTGACTTGTGTTGTATAGGTCGACACTGGCTCCACTTGTTCCCAAGACTCTGCATCGGCCCTATGGTAAGCTAACAGTTGCAGTGTGTTTATTTGATTGGTTATAATTAATTAAAAAAAATTGTAGCCATTTATATAATTACATAATTATGTAGGTGCTCATAATAGAAGGGTGATCATCACCCAAAACACATGATCAAAAGACAGCCATGTGACGATGGGCCGACACCTTCCGGTCAAATCTCAGTGGATCAGCGGGAATTGTTCTTTACCAGCCAATTGGTGTTATCCTAAC